TTCCAGTGTATATACTAGTTACTTTTTTTTCATATCTAACAGCACTTGATAGAATCTCCAAGATAATTTCAAATAGCAATTGTGATATCAAGCATATTTGTTTAATTTCTAATTTTAGTTGAAATGTTTTTAATCTTTCACCATTTAGAATAAGCTTTGCTTCTGGTTTTTGGAAAATAGTTTTTATTATATTTGAGCAGTTTCTTTATATCCCTACTTTACATACAGGTTTTATTAAAATTGTTGAATCTTAGAACTTTTCAGAATCTACTGATATAATCCTTTATTTTCTTTTTTAATTTTATGAATGTAATAATTCATGTTGATAGGTTTTATACTGTTGAACTACCTTTTCATTTCTGATATAAACACTACTGGATCATGATGTATTACTCTTTTATAAATTGCTAGATTCTATCTGCTTCTACTTTAGAAAATATTCAGAAGAGAAAATGGTCTCAGTATATCATACTTTACAGTTTTATGTGGGCTTAATAAAAAATGGATTGAGTAGTTTAATTTTTTTCTGTTTCATGAAAATATTCAAATAACTGGACTTATTTATTTATTTCTTAAAAGCTAGCTAGATTTTTCATTTCTTCTTAGGTCAGTTTTGGCCATTTTTATTCTTCTAGCTATTCATTTACCTATTAATTTGCAGAAAGTTGCATGATTCTTTCCTGTGTTAATAACCATGGTTTCAGAGGATTCAGTCATGGTCACTTGGGCCCATTGCTGTGGGCTTGTGTTGAGGAAGAACATGCTGGCTGAGGGTGTGTGGTAGAGCAAAGCTGCTCACCTCATGGTGGCTGGAAAGAAGAGAATGAGACAGGAAGAAGGGGCTGGGGACATGAACACCTTTCCAGGGCACACCCACATTGACTTACTTCTTCCAACCAGGCCCTACCTCCTTCTTTGCAATAGTTTAGTAGTTTTTCTCTATTTCAGCATTTTTTGTTTAAAAACACCAGACAATATATCATCCATAATGTATGTATATGCATGATGTATAGACAGATCTATGTTACAAATGTACATATATCACACATATGTATATGATGTGTGTATATGCATACATCTGAGAGTATGTATGTTTATGTGTGTGTTGCAAGGTTCATTTGTCATCAGTGTTTCTACTTTCCTTATCTTCTCTTACCTGGGTTCCTCTGTTCCTCTGTTCTGATTCAATTGTTGTTTGGTTATAGTGTTTTCTATTATTTTTCTCAGGAGCTCACTGAGAAGTACAGTCAGTCTCTGAGTTTTTGCCAAATATTTTAACTGGGTAATGAACTCTTAGACTTTAGTTCTAGCTGTTGTTTGCCATCACCAGCTATCATAGGGTGTTTTTATCTCTGCTTTTGTAGACTTGAACCACTTATTTCTGTGGGTGGATGTGTGCATGTGCTTATTGTCAACCTTGGTTGATAATAAAATTGATGATAATAAAATGCCTTTTCCATTTGTAGATTCAGTATTTTCTAAGTTAGGGTAAATTCTCTCTATAATTCATTTAGTTATAGAAGTTTGTCCATTGGTTTCTTTCCAACATTCTACATGATGCTGTTTTTAGATCCACTCTTCATGAGTCATTCTTTATAATTTGTTCATAGCCAATAGAAGGACAACAGACAAATATTTATATAGGAATGTCTGTTAATTTATAAGAAAAGCACAGAGGTGCTTTATGATACTGTGTGCCAATGTGACATCCTGATCACAAGGTAATGTCATGGTCTGTAGGGGCTCATGAGAGAAAACAGTGTGTCTTTTTATCTTTGCATCCTTAGATGTGGCACAGTTGTAACTTGATAATATTTATCAAAGAAATACTTAGATGAATGCTAGCTTATTTGCAAGAATGACATTCTCCATGTAAAGACATTGTGCTAGCGATAGGCATGCAGATGTAAACAGGACAGGGTCCCTGTTCCCAAGCAATGCACACTCTGAGGTGGGATGGAGTATCAGATGAGAAACATGCCCCTGTCACGAAGGAATGGATTCCATTTCATTTAGAATTAAAGGACACCAGCAGTTAGGCTCTTTACCTTTGCAAAGAGGTGAATTAACAGTGATTTAAAATTCTGCCTTTCAGCTTACTCATTAAGGAGAGCAGTTTTATTATAAATTCTGCTTCTTGAGGAAATGTATTCTTATAGACCCAAATGACAAGCTGTCATAGCATCTTGTGATATGAGGAGATAAGCATTGTCTATATGCTTCAAGTGATTTGCTGCAAGGCAGGGGGTTTATGTCAATCATAGGCAGAAACTTGGGAGTCAGAAGAGCAGCCATTGTCTGAACTGAACTACTTTCTCTGTGATTTCTGATTTTTGAGAAAAGGTTTAAGATGGAAGCCTTGGCTATTGATTCATACTATATTTGCAGAAGTTTCAATTTTTTAAAATCTTAAAACTTATTTTCTTCTTTCCTGATGGTCAGTTTAGCAATTGTAGGAATTAGAAACTTTGTTAAATCAGTATTGGGGGTTATATAGAATTTTGTGTATGGTGTTCGAGTATAATATTCAAAAGAATTTAGTTTTTCTTTGGTGATACAGGGACTCATTTTAGCATCTTGGTGTGCCTTAGTGACAAGCATTTGAAAATTAACAGTATTGTACCTTAAAGTACAGAAGTGCTTTTTAAAGCAGCAAGGAGTTTTAGCAGATAGACTACTGTACAAAGAGTAGTTTTTATTTTGTTGCCTCTTGTGAATATACTTACTGGTTATTTTTTGATGATTATTTGAAATTCTGCCATTGGTAGTAGGACATGAGCTTACTGGATTGTCTTATGTCTGTGTTCTTCACTAAATAACCGTAAGGCCATTTTCAGTGTTAGGAGAAATGTCAGTTAGAAGCAACTCTGTTTCTATCGTGTGCTTTTGGACCCTAAGTCCTCGGAAGATATGACTCTTGAAAGTTTAGAAGCAATCCATGGAAATATTTCCAGCGGTACATGGAATGTTGTGGTGCAACAGTTATCCAGGTCATGGAAATGTTTATTCTGAATTTAGTTTTAGATAAGAGTTTCATAATTATAACATTTCATAGTAACAAAGAATGCCATCATCAAATGTGGGCATAACTTTAATTTGTGTTAGAATTTTTTAGTTGCACCATAATGATGGCATAAAAAGACATGTTAGTGATGTATTTATTAATAAAGGCACTCTTTCTTACTTAGGTTTTCTACTTATTTTCTATTCACATTGATTTTAAGACATTCTTTGTCAAAAATGACCTCTTAACTTGGCTAACACAATGTTTGGACAGTATAGCAAGCTCTCCAACATATTTGAAGTGTTTTGACTCTATTTTTAAAAATAATGTTTTTGACTATTCTGTTTCCTCACTCCTGAAAGGAAGGAACACTCCGGGAATGATGAAGGTAGGAACAGCAAGCCAAGATATAGACGGCCTGGATTGTCTGTGCTCTGATAAGACCCTAGTGAGGTGTCTTTCTCATTGGTTCTTTTTTCCCCCCAATTCTGCCTGAATTTCAGAGCTTCTTTATAGGAGAGAATAGACTGGACAGGAACATGTTAATATATGAAGTCAATGTACTAATTTTAACCAAAATCAAAGGAGAGGCATAGAGTGTGTAGAAGATGTCTTCAGCATGCAGACTCAACACTTCTATGTGTTTTACCCTTCTTTGGCCATAAATTCTCTTTATTTTTTTCCTCAGATTATCCAATGTTGAATCTTACTAGATTATATGTGATCCTGGTTCTGACTGCTCTATAATGAATTCGTTATTTTTCATAGCAGTTGCAGTAGTATAATGTAGGATCCTTTTGCTGAGGCATCTGGGAGTATGAGGAAGCAAGGCCTTGATTCTATCTGGTCAAATTCCTACTCTTCTCTTGGCTGCTCTTACTTTTGTGGCTGAAAAGATTCAGATCATTCCAAGTTCTGCCATTTTATATTTCTTATTTTGTTTCTCTGTCCTGGAGGTCTAGCTGACTTTTTGACTTCCTCTGAGATTGCTGATGTAAGCCTTGCGTTTCCATTTGATAACTTGCTGCCTGTTTCCACATGTTCAATGGATTGCTTCTTTGATATTTGCCACTTAAGGGATGCTTTGTGTGTGTGTGTGTGTGTGTGTGTGTGTGTGTGTGTGTGTGTGTGTCTTGCTGAGGATCAAACCCCAGCAACTTGAACTCACATGCTAAGCAAGTACATTACTTACTACTAGGATACATCTTCAACCTAATGAATGCATTTTGATGAGAAGTAAGATAGAAATAAGGATGGTATATTGCTATAAAAGACAATACTTGGGTATTCTGTAAACATTGGGGAAATGATTAAAGCAAAGAAAAAGTTATTTGTGATTTTTATAGCAAGTAGAGTAGAGACTACAAAGAAAAGTTAATAGCTATAATAGCAACATTTGAAAACCTCGTAGTCTGAGAGGTAAGGAAAAGAAACTGATAAATAGGAGGTGTATAGTGAATTTTGGGGGGGCAATGAAGTTACTCTGTGTGGTATTATAATGGTGGATACATTTAGCAAAGCCCATAGAATATATAGCATCAAGAGTGAACCCTAATGTGAGCCATGAAGAGTTCTTTGTAATAACAAGGGGTCAGTGTACATTATGGATCAGCGGCACATTGTAAAAAATATACCATTCCGGTTAGAGATGTTGATATTGGGGAAAGCTATGTATCTGTGGAGGCAGAGGATATGTTGGGAAATATCTGTAGCTTTCACTTAATTTTGCCATGAACCTAAAACTGGTCTAAAATAGTCTAAAAGCAAATGAACAAATATGTTTATTCTCACTAATATCTTTGGAGCATTCAAAAGATGAACTAAAATTTACTTTCTCTAATACAAAATGAGTTAGCTTATCTGGAAAATTTGTAGGCACAGCGCACATATCACTCTTGCTTCACTCACTGGTTACCTCTTTTGATAGCATTTTAAAAGCTAGAAATCTAATTTTTCATATCCTGTTTTACTGACATTTGCTTTCATTTATCTTTAGGTTTGAAGTTTGAGGAAATTCAAGAAAGATTTGGTGAGGAGTTCTTTAAGATATGCTTTGATGAGAATGAGAGAGTGCTTCGAGCTGTAGGTGGCACCTTGCAGGACTTTTTTAATGGATTTGATGCTTTGTTGGAACACATTAGAACTTCTTTTGGAAAACAGGCCACTCTGGAGTCGCCATCTTTCCTATGCAAAGAGCTCCCAGAAGGAACTCTCATGCTCCACTATTTCCATCCTCACCATATTGTGGGGTTTGCAATGCTGGGGATGATTAAGGCTGCAGGAAAGAAGATCTATCGCCTGGACGTGGAAGTGGAACAGGTTGCAACTGAGAAGCTGTGCTCTGAGGGTTCAAACCCAGGCAATTGTAGCTGTCTTACTTTCCTTATCAAGGAATGTGAAAATACTAACATCACGAAGAACCTTCCCCAGGGAACTTCTCAAGTTCCAGCAGACCTCAGAATTAGCATCAACACCTTCTGCAGAGCTTTCCCTTTCCACCTGATGTTTGATCCCAACATGTTGGTCCTCCAGCTGGGGGAAGGCCTAAGAAAGCAGCTCCGATGTGACACTCACAAATTGCTCAAGTTCGAGGAGTGCTTTGAGATTGTTTCTCCAAAGGTCAATACCACCTTCGAGAAGGTCTTGCTGCGACTGTCCACCCCATTTGTGATTAGAACCAAACCTGAGGCTTCCAGCACTGAAAATAAAGACAAGGTGAGTAGCCATGGCCTTGAGATGTGTGATGGGAACTAGGATAATGAACAATGATTTCAGTAAATTACATGCTGGCTGTACTTGTAATTATTTAGGCAAGAGAGCACTAAGTACCATTTAGAAGATTACTGGTCCCAGGATGTATGTAAGAAGATTTGGCCCTATTCCCAGTCATTTGCATAGTGTCTGCCTCTTCATTAATTTATTTCAGCACATAAAAGAAGACATTTATTGATATTAGCCAAGCAATTACAAAAATGATAGGACTCACTAAAGAGCTAATATTATAAACCCAGGAATATTTCCACTGACTGAAGTCAAACCATGAGAGAAATGGTAAGACTGATTTCAACACTGTGGGTCCTGACTGCCTTATCTTTAAATAAATATAGGCAAAAAGCCACTATAGTATGAATATATTGTTTTTAAAATTTCATATTCTAGGAGCATCCAGTTTATATCCTACATTTGTGTTAATATACAGGATAATATACTCTCCCAAAGTTAGAAACTGACTATATCAAGGTTTCCCTTGAAATCAAATTTTAGGGTTGACATAGAGTTCCATTCCATTAAAACATGTTCACTCCTTGAGAGAATACAGTGTACACTAAGTATTTTCATTGTGGATTTCTTCAAGTTCCTTCTGGAATATCTGCAATAAATTATGAATAATTTATGAAAAGACACAAGAAGTCAATCTTAAAATAGCTGAGTTTAAGCAAATATTCTGTCCCTAATATAAATATTTTAAAAATTTAATATGAACATAAGTAATGATATGTAGGGAAAATCAACTATGACAACTTTTACTTTTGGTAAAGAGATGAAAAGGAAAATAATGTTAATTGTCAGGGCAGATACTTGAATATACAGTCATTCATTTGCCAATAAAGTGGTTTTTCTACATTTTCTGTCAGGTATTTTAGGGTACTCATCTTGTTTTCCAAGCATTTTGGGGGGAGGTATTGGCTGTTAGAAATGAGCAGGTTGCTAGGACTAAAGGAAGAAAGGTAGAATTCTTTCTATGATGATTAGTTCGGTGAATGAATAATCTACACATGTTCTGAAGTGTCTGCAATAATAAATGAAAGAACAGACTCCTGGAAGAAGAGGCATGATTTTCTGAAAACTTCATGTAATATTAGTTTCATAATTGTTAACTTTTATAACTTTGAAGTTCAATGAAAATGTTTTAAACAAAGTATTTGAGAAAGATGGATGCACATTTATTCCATACGGCCAAATAAAGTGATTTAGGAAAATCATTCAGTAATATTTTTATCGTAGGTGTAGTGGTTTGAATTACCTGAAGGATAGACTGGGATTCCAATTTGGCACATTTAGATATCTTAGTCTGGATGCCTTATTGTTATTGTTCCTATTTAATCTCACAAAGGTATTTTAATAATATTTTTATAATGTATAAATTTTATATATGTTCAGTAAATGATAGGTCATTTTGAAGCCTTTTGGGATGAAAACTTGTTAAATGTATATTTTTGTCCAAATTTGTGCTTGCTTTAAAATTGGAATCACTATGCCTTTTTAATTTAGACAATATTAAAGCTATCAGTTCTATTTTACTGAACTTCAGTATTTGAACAGGAGGATCTGAAGCAGTTTTGGCCCTTAGAATTGAAGTTTGCATTTTTGAAAATGTGTCTGCCAGGATATATTATTACCAATGTTAATTGCTTTACTTATTTTATAGATTTGAGAAAAATCAATTCCATTTTAAGTTACTAGTTCAGATTTCTTTCCTCTGTAGTTCATTCGGCTTGTATTTCTATTTAATTTGTATAACAGGGTAAGAAAATAGACATAATGAAATGATGACTCAAATGTCAAGGCCCCCTGCCAGTTCCAATAATAAGGAACTGTGCTCATTGAGAAGATGCAATTATCGTTTAAACATGTTTGAGGCAGTTTAAAAATAGGCCATAGGCAGGATTTTCAGTTAAAAAAAGATAGTAATCTGCTCATCCTTGTATTTACACTTCTGCTTACTCAACCTGGATTTACCAGAATGAGATATTAGGGAAGGGACAGTTACCCCAAACTGAAACTGTGGTCAGAACCAGATGAATGACATTTTTATCTTAGTATGTCTCCATTCTTAAACATGGAAAAAAGGGAAGGAAAATGAGGCTTAAAATTATGTTCTTGCCCATAAAATTGACCTGGTGTGCATTATTTCCTCATAATAGCTTTTCCTATTAATAGATAATCCCATATTGCTTAAAGTTTCCAATTCTTCAGTTGGTTTCGATAAGAATGTGCAATTTAAAACTAATTTAATATATTTGTTCCTAGGCCTACTGGTAAAGGTTTTCACTCACTGTTTTGTCTATGCACTTAATAGCAATGAACTGCCACCCCTGCCATTAAAAAGTCAAGAGTTAACTGTCACCCATATGATGGTAAAAGGTTTGCAGATTGAAGGGAAAATGCTTTTGATAGACCATGGTCTTTGTCACTTTGTGTTGTCATCATAGGTTAAATGTATGATATGTTCATGAGCAAGTTTGTGAGATATTAATGAAGCAGAAAGCCATCTCCCTACATAAGAATCATATTTCAATTCTTCTGTCATGGGATATAAAAAAAAAAGGGATGGCCACCACAAGTAGCTCGGATGTTACTCAGAAGCATCTGATATTGTCACACAGAGCAGTCTTCAGTTCAATAGTGTTGAGGTCAGAAGAGGCTCCTCCAGTCGGCTTGACCAGGATTTGAACCTTTCACTTGGCTTCCTTTACCTGGATGGAGTGTTCATCCATGCCTCCTGTTTTCTTCTCTCCTTAAACTCGACTTTCTTTTCAACAACTTCTTTACTTATCAGATATCAATCATTAAATATGGATGAATTAGTTAATTAAAGGAAACCAGATGCGTCAGCAATAAAGACTTGATTAGATCTCCAAATTGTGCTGTAATCTCTGTCATCATCCAGATCTAAAATTGCACTGATAATTTGGAAGCTTCATAAATAGGTACTTTGAGTTCTAATGTATTGTGGTGAATTTGACAAAAAATCTGTTGTAGTCCAGTGAACAGATTGGAGGGTTAATGGTTAGCCATGTAAACCTAACCCACTGAAATAGACTCCAAGGTTTCTTTCCATATGTGGCCCATGTTTGTAGAGAGAATTGTTAAAATTCAGGGCAGTGGACATAGTTTTCTTTCCTGCCTTATAATGTCCATGATGTATGGAAAAAAGTGTAAGTAGACTGGTGAAGAGCTGTCTCTGACAACCCTGATTTTAGTAAGCCCCTTTTATCTCTAAGTATCAGATCTATCACATAGAATTAAGAGACCTAGAGTAATAATATTCTCCTCCCTTTACAAGTCATACTTAACACAAGCTCATTTATATGAGGTCAGTTGATCATACAGCTTTCTCTTATCCCCATGATTCATTCCATTCAGACTCTGCTTATCTCCTTACTACAGATTAGAAGACTGCTTGTTACAAATTTTTTGAAGCTGTTTGGATCTGCCTTTTGTTCATATACTATCCTGGTTTTAAAATATGTTGTCTCCTTTTCAGATTCATAACAAGGTTGGAATCAAGTTTTTCTTGCCTGTGTCTGCTAATATCTTTTATGTTCACTTGTCAGAACATTTTGCAGAATAAAACAAACAGGTTAACTTGGGCACGAACTGAAACAACAAAGGATTTTCAAAAACAATAAATAACATGAGTTCTTTTGACATTTTTTTGTTGTTTAGTAGCAATGCTTCAAAGAACTTTAATAACACCCTGGAAGGAGCCCAGCATTTGAAATACATCACCTACAGCTAGGGCTAAAACAGAATAAAAGCATTATTATTCATCTTCATTTTTCTTCTCAGGATGGGCATTGAGCAAAAGCATAACAGAATCAGATTTTTTCAATTTTTAGAAATATCCTGACATTTGTCTTATTAATTAGAAGCTGCCAATATATACAAGGAAATAACTTTCTACAAATAAAGTAGGAAGCAACCTCTGTTTTTCCATGATCAAATCTGTTTCCAAAATGTTCCTTTATCTTTTTTTAGACAGGTGTCCATCTTTTTATGATGTGATGTTTTAAAAGTTTTCAATATATTTATTAATCTGACTGTATCATAATGAAACTGCTACATGGCATGCTTCATTTGGCTGTCAAGAGACATTTTTGATTCAAACTTTAATTTAATTTGGGAAAATGTGAATGTTTCTTCCTCTGTTCAGATCATAATATTCTATTAGAGAATGTCAAATATTGATCTGTGGTTTTAGTGATGGATAAATTGATATAAGGCTTTGTTTGTACATTAGCAGAATATCAGACCAACTTCATTCAAACTTACCTGGAGTTTTCTTTGCTCTTGGAAGTACAAATCGTACCTCTAATTTTAAATTTTGTGCTCAGATTTCTCTGGAACTGCTCTAAGACCATTGATTGCCTTCTAAAGAAGATGGGAGAAACTGATTTTCATGCAGATATCTGGAATTCTCATCCTGGCCTTTTTTATCCCTACAATGTTAAAATTAATGTATAGCGCCATTAATGTGTAGTTACTATATTTTGTTTAGAATACAGAGTATATGATTACATAATGAATTGTATACTTCTAACAGCTTCATCATGTTTGAAATGTATGTTTTGCTGTGTTTTAATTTTTATCAGCAAGAAAGAAGGTATCTCCTATCAGAAATCAGATTATTATTTAGGTCTACTAGGTTAGGTAATGAGGGGAAAAATTAGTCCTTTTAATTAAAAAAAATGAAGAATCTTCATTTAATTGCTCCCTTGTTTTTAAGTGAGAATAATTTGGCTTCAGTGAGTAGCATTAGGTCTCAGTGGATTAAAAGCTGAAGTGCTGTTTTGAATGCACTGTCTACCTCTTCAAGTTTTAAAGGTACTCTTTCTTCACATGAGTATTTTTGTAAATATATAGTGAAGTGATTTTTAGTACATGTCTATAATTATGAAACTACCCCAGCAATGTAATTGTAGGAAACCTTA